GAAATTTATAAAATCTGGATCTAATTTGCAATGTTTGAGATGCAATATATTCTCATCAAATTTTTAAAATCAGGAGAAGTAAGAATTTGAATTTAATAGTTGTTTAATAGTATAAAAGATTGCACGTAGCTTGATGATCTGATTAAAAGCTTTTTATGTTATCATACATTGAACATGATTTTAAATTGTTTCAACAACCTAAGATAATGCTTTATTCATGTTGTCAGATGGATACCTTGCAAAACAATAATGGGTGTGGATCATCGGCATTCGATTCTGCACAGTTTGCAGATGCTAATGTTCCTTTATTGGATTCTAGTTCCAAAGAAGACCGAGCCAGTGACCTTCTTTTAGGATTTTCGATATATACTATGAGAAGTGAAATCATTGAGCATGCATTTCGTGGCATGGATGAGTTGGCAAAGATTGGCATTGCAGAGCAACCTTTATGGCAGCGACAGCAGGGAAACAGTGGCTGTGAGATTTTGAATGATACTGAATATTTGAAGCAGTTTGGTGAGGTTGATACCATGCTAAGCGAGATTGTTAAGTTGATGGAGGTTGGAGAGTCTCAAAATTTACCTAGTTTTGACACATATCAAACTGAGCATCCAATAACAACTACTGTGACTCCCACTGTAACTTCACACTCTGAAGGTTCAAGAGATATGGCCTATATAAACATGGCACCAATCTGCATTGTTGAATTACTCATGGATGTGGTCAGTTATTTCTTCTTCCTTTTCCTTTTTCATGAATACAACTCAGGGTTTAATTTTACTTTTTCTCAATCGGTGGGCACTTGCACTCAGGGATTTTGTTTTTTCTTAAATAAGTAAAAATAATATTTTCATTAAGTTAAAACTAGATTATATTAATTAAAAATCAATTTTGAAAAATAATATAAAATTAATTAGTTAAAGTATGCATAAAAATTTAGACTGTTTTCTATCTTCTACATACATAAACTCATTCTTTTACACTGTTTCTGTTTTTATTTTTATTTTTTATATTAAACTATTTTTTACACTAAATTGTTTGTTCCGTTCATATACAAATACATATATATAAAAAATTGTGCAATATATATATATATATATATATATATATAGTATATTCATTTGTTTATACTGTATATCTAATGAGAGAAGTCTTATCACCTAAGCCCTTTTATCCAAGTTGACATTTAGATATGTTATTCCAAAGCATGGTCAGGTGATATATTTTGAACATTCCTCTGCTTTAATATATTTTGTAATATCACTATTACAAAAGTCCAATCCAAAGGAGGAATGATTAACTTTTTCTGAACAGGAGAGTCTCAATACTTATTCAATTTAGGACTTTTCTTCTGACAATTCATCTGTTAATGAATCCTATTTGCATCTTAATCCAACCTACAATTTATATTTATATCTTCACCATTTGATAAAAAGAAATCTAACTTTTAAAACTTAACTATAGTGGGACAGAGTCAAATCCAAGACAAAATTTAAAGTGGCAGTAATTTATTTTATTTTTATTGAATATGGGATTTGTGACAATTTGTTGTAAAAAATAACAATAGAAATCACAGACTTTTATTAGTAGATAAGTTTTATGGCAAATTTGTGGAAAAGTGTAGTTATTATAAATGATAAGTAGTATGAAATAGTAGCAAATAAGATAAAAGGGTCCATGAATCATTTTCTATATATTTATGATAAATGATGGGTTATATCCACATATGAGTTGAAGTAACACATGCATGATATTTTTTGTGCCAAAAATTGTTCTGTATAGGAAGTCGATTTCTCTCTCGTTTCTCATTTATTGATATATTTGATCTCTTTTTGTTGGATATTAACCAGAATCAATGGTCTGAAGTGTTTTACAATATTGTCTCAAAAGCGACAATAGTAGGAACTTTGTTAGGAGTGGATGGAAGCTATGATAACAGATTGCAGGTGGTAAGTTCAGAATGTTACCCCTTATTGTAAGGTTAGAATTCTGTTTTTAAGTTAGAAATTAAAAGTGTATTTTCTTTGACTTAAAAATAGTATATTCAACTAATGAAATAGTATATTAAAAGTCCATTTTATTTGGCAATTGGCTTGAGAAACCTGTTATTAATATGTTGAATATCTCTCTTCACTTTCACACCTTGCTTACAGTTTCTGTTAAGACTGTAGACACAATGCTTTGAAGAAAATGTACATAATAATTAATGTGAAAAGAAATAATTTAAAGAAAATATACACAAAATTAGAACAGTTCAATGAGAATTTTAACTAGCAATGTACACCTAAATCTAGATAACCTGAAATAAAAATAATTTAGATTAAAGATAAAGTAAAAGACTTTGGAATATAAGAACAACAATCTTATGTTTCTTTTTGAGGGTAATTTGCTTGTGTTGCTTAGAAAATGAGTGAGTCATGGGTTGATTAGCATTACTAAATATGCTTCTTATGTTATAGATTAGAGGTCATGTTGAACATTAATAGAAGTGTTGATGGAGGAATAAAGACTCTATGTACATATACTGTATATTGCTGATTAAAACATATCAAGAAAAATGAAAGATAAAATAAGACAATACAAAAGAACTCAATGAATTAGAATGGTGAGAGCATACATTATACACGATAACATTTTTTTTGAGTAGTCATGACAGAAAATGTTACATAAGTCCACAATGTTTCTTGTTATCTGTTTGTTACACACTAAAATCATACTCATCAACAATTATTAAACCAAAAACACTCAACATGTGTCAATATCTTACACTACCTTAATTGTGTTACTAAGCAAAGTATCTTCAAGGTGGTCTTGATCTTTGCTAATTGCCCACTATTTCTTCTTAGACAATTCCAGTGGCTCCTCTGTAATTCATAGGTTGTGGAAGGATGCCAATTATAGTTAGACGAGTTATTAAAAAGCAATAATGTTAGAGGAAATAACAGTGGGAAGAAATGAGGTTAGGGTCACTATGTTGCAGTATGCATATGATACAGTCTTTTTCGTAAGGCAGGTGTCAAAAAATTGTAATTGTAATTAAAAGTACTATGAGATGTTTTGAACTTGACTCTAGAGTGAATTTTCATAAAGTGGAACATGATTTTAGTTGCGCTTGATTCCCAAAGGTATAATAAAGTGTAATGTTTCTATTATGTTCAAGTACACACATGGAGGTCTGCATATTAAGTACATGTGTTTCTGCAAGTCGACCATGACTGCATAAGAGTACACAGTCTATAGTCCTAAGCTTATGAGATGAAGAAATTGTGCATGCGGACAGTAACTCCACAAGGGATGATTCACTTTCTCGGGAACCCATTTGCATTTCTAAAGATTTATGGTTGGAATTAACAACGAATTCAATAAATTGTTACAGATTTATGCGAAAGTTCTGTTTTCAGCTGAATTAAAACACTAAGAAACGGAAAAAATGTTTCTGCTTTTCCTTAAAATTACACACCAAACAGTTGACTCCGATTGTAGCTGCAGTGTAAGGTCTTCCAATAATGGTTGCTATTGCAGAACATATTAGAAACTCTTATGTTTTATTAGTTTCAGTTAAGCTAACTGTTATGTTCTTATCGTTGTTATATATTCTATACATCATTAGAATTTCAAAACTAATGTGAATATTGTCCTCATTTCGATGTATACTCTTTCCTTTTCACAGATGAGCGCAGAACTTCATTTGCCTTCGCCTGTTTTATTGACCAGGGAGTGTTATTTTGGAAGGTACAGCAAGCAGTTATCTCATAACACATGGGGGGTTGTAGATGTATCATTGGAGAAATTTCTTCCTTCCCCGACCACCAATTTTCGGAAAAAACCATCTGGATGTTTAATTAAGTTAATGCCTAATGGACACTCTAAGGTTGATTTTTTATAGGATTCAAATGATTGCATCATGAAGTTAACCATTTTTTCCTTTTGTGTTCATTTTGGGAAGCCATAAAAACTGGTTTTACTTTGTTTTCCATTTTTAGGTCACATGGGTGGAGCATGTAGATGTAGAAGATAGTCAAGTGGACCAATATTTCCAGTCTCTATTCACCTCCACTCTAGCTTTTGGCGCAAGCCGTTGGATTAATTCCTTAATTCGATATGGTGAATGGTTACAAAGACTATTCGTAACACCGTTGGTTGCTGATGAAGGAGGTATACATGTTCTGATATCTTCTATTTTAACTGACATTAGTTTATAGTGTGTTTAACTGCTTCCATTAAACTTGCTTGTTTCTTTTGATATGAACAGTTTTTATAGCCCAAACGGGGAGGACCAGTTTGCTGCAACTGGCAGATAGAATGATGAAAACATTTTGTGGAAACACGAGTTCCACCGCAGACAATCCATGGACCCAAATGGCTCATTCCCCATACGTGAGAATCATGGTGAAGAATAACATGGAAGAAGCTGGAAAGCCTCCAGGTACATCCGTTGTTTTCACCACTTCTGTTTGGCTTGATGTCTCCCGGAATCGACTGTTCAACTTCCTCCGCCATGAGAATTCCAGAACCAAGGTTTTCTCCATAATTTCTTTCAAGCATTTCAGATATTATAAATTATCATAAGAAAAAGTTAACATCTTGTTGTATTTTTTTCATTTTGATGAATGATTGCAGTGGGATTTACTTTCACGTAGACATACTATTCGAGAGTTTGCTACAATGCTGAAGGGTGAAAATCCAGGAAATCGTGTTTCCCTGATGAGAGTCCATGTAAGTGAACATCATTGATTATTAAATTTCATTTTCATCAATTTCTTGAAACTTAACGTTAAACCTAAACAACCTTTTATTTGCAATGTTCTTAGAATTCACAGGGCAAGCTTGTAATCTGTTTTCTGCAAGAGAGTTACACAGACTCAACAGGTTCGTATATAGTGTATGCTCCACTGGATGAGTCAGCTGTGGCAGCTCTTGTACACGGAGCCAACCCTGACAAAGTGATGATCCTACCATCAGGGTTTAGCATTCTTCCTGAAAGGTTGCAAGGAGATGAAGATAGAAACAGTCGAAGTCTTCTAACTATTGCATTCCACATAGTTGAAAGTACCACTAGTAAGCCATATCTCGCTCCTGAATCAATCGAAACCATATACAAAGTCATTTCAGATACTGTTTACTCTATAACAAACTCAGTGCTGTATCATAATCATCGCAATAATTGGATGGATGATTCAAATTTCTAGTTACTTCCTAAATGACTTTGCTTTGGAGCTTTGCATTTGATGTGAGAAAATATTTAATGCAGTGTTTATGACTGTTTTCGCTCTTTCACGTACAGGTATATACTTTTCTCACTTTTAGTATATTTTGCTGTGATATGAATTATTATTGGTTATTTGGTAAGCAAATGATGGTTTTTTTTTTATTAGTGATTAGAAAGGTGTGGAAAATTGAGAGTTATACATGTAAAATTTTCCTCCATCCTTTTCTAACCATAAGAGATACTTTTCTTTTTCCCCTAAGTGTGACTAACGTAAATGCAGAGTACTATGGTTACCACAAAAGTCCTCACACATATAGACCAATGACTTATCTCTGTTAAGGATGATAGTGTTGATTTATACTCATAAAACGGGACACAAATCACTTACC